AACAAGTGTTTGCCATAAGGATTAAATAAGATAAAATAGGTAAACATAACAGCATGTAAATAATTATGAGTAAACCTTTTCCATTGCTTTCCTCAGACTTGGCATATTTGTTTGCACTTTGTGCCGTTGCCTAGAGTATTCATCCTTTGCGACAGATCAGTTCACAGATGAGCATTTTCATGTTATAGCTATTTGTCCTTCCCTATAAAATGTTCTGCTGAGTTCTTAACTTGGAGCCCTTGGGAACACAAAACCCTAGGGTGTAAATGGATGGAGGCCTAGGGTGGCAGGCATCTCCAGGAGCTGATACTGTCATCCGGAGTGAGCTGACAAGAGACCTGAATCATTAATATTTAGCAGATGGTTCGAGGAAGACATTTTTACAGAAGACCTAGCTAAAGTTGCATTCATAGGAGCTGTGTGCCTGGAAATGTAAACTGTCATAAAGAACTCAGGAGAGAAAGCACCAAGGGTGGAGCTGGGAAGGTGGCAGAGATAGTGAGGTAGGTTTTCAATCCTCTGAGATGTGATTTTGGTGGCCTCTTTACCCTTCACAGGGAAATAACCCATGCCAACCGGATTACGCCCAGTGGCACTTTAGAAAAATTCTTTTTGGGTTTTTGAATCTTTGATCCGTGTTCAGAAGTCAACACCCTTGACAGGCTTGCCATTTGGAGCTGCTAACAGTCCCTGCAGTGTCAGTGGATTTGATTGGGGCATCTTAGAGGAGAACGGAGGGAGAGAACGTCTGAACGACGTGTGGCCCAGGGTGTAGGACCTGACAGCCTCAAGGGGACCTGGACCAGCGGGTGTGTTTGAGGCTTACATAGTTCAGATTTCTGCATGCCTGTGGACGCACTCTTGACATGCCTCTCCTGACATGTGGCTCCTTTACAGCATAAGCCTCCGGTCTGGTCATGGCCACTTTCTCCTCACCGTGGCTACAAAGAGCCAGGCTTGGGCATCTCCTACTTCTCTTGTTTTTCTTTCCCATTCCTGAACCTCCTTCTCTTCTTCTCCCCACATTTCACACACCCTCCTAGGCCACCTCTTCTCTCTAGCTGCCCATGACTGTCCCTCCATTCTTTCCACTATACTTCTTACTCTTTGCATTGCGAGTGTTCAGCATTTGAGGGCATTTAGCTTTGCCTGAATCACACTGACATTAGGTTTATTCTCTCACGCATGTTTTTGTGTTCTAACTAACTTAGCAGTTCTCGAAATGTGTCCCCATGGAATGGAGTGATCGTAGTATACACAAAATGGGTTTATAATCAAAGGGTCGGAAATGCTGGTGTTTGCAAAGGTTGAAAACCTTTTGTTTTTTAAATCTTAGGCCTCTGCAGAGCTTTAATTTCCAAAAGCAAATCCTGAATCCCTGCGGAGTGTTTCTCAGTTTTAGTTACTTGTAGAAGAACCTGTTTTTAATCTCTCAGGGATAGTATCCTGCAGGGCATGGTTTCTAGAAGGGCTGCTGTAATTGGTTTAGGCTCTGGAAGGGTGGGAAGCACTTTCTCCTCCCCTGTGGATCCCCATCTTAGTTAAATGCAGTCGTTTCTTTCTTTTTTTTTTTTTTTAAGATTTTATTTATTTATTCATGAGAGACACACAGAGAGGCAGAGACACAGGCAGAGGGAGAAACGGGCTCCATGCAGGGAGCCCGATGTGGGACTCTATCCTGGTTCTCCAGGATCGTGCCCTGGGCTGAAGGCGGCGCTAAACCGCTGAGCCACCCGGGCTGCCCAAATGTAGTCATTTCTGAGTAAACTCTTGGGACATTTTTATTTTTTAAAGATTTTATTTATTTATTTGAGAGAGTGAGAGAGAGAGCGCACATGAACAGGACGGGGAGAGGGAGAAGCAAGCTCTCTGCTCAGCAGAGAGCCTGACATGAGGCTCAGTCCCAGGACCCTGGGATCTGACCTAAGCCAAAGGCAGATGCTTAACTGACTAAGCCACCCAGGGTCCTCTTGGAACATTTTTTTAAAAAACATTTTTAATTGTTGGAAAAATTTATATAAAATTCACCATTTAAGCCATTTTAAGGTATACAATTCAGAGGAATTTATAGTCACAATGTGCACCCAGCACTGTTCCCTGATTGCAAAATATTTTCATTACCCCAAAAGAAACCCTGGACCCATTAAGCGTTCACTCCCCATTTCTCCATCCCTCAGCCCCAGCAACCACAAATCTTTTTGTTCCTACGGATTGGCCTAATCTGGACATCTTATCTCAGTGGAACCACTGATAAAATGTCTTAGACCTGCGCCATACCTCTGCTCCCCCAGTGTAGCTCTTCTTCACTGGCCAAACTTCATTCATGTGTAAGTAACAAAAAACAACTGTCCTCTGGAAATCTCCAAGTCATGTGGCCATGTTAAAAATATCATGGAATACTGTGAAAGAGGGTCATGGTATGGTTGCCATTGCCATGATTTGGCCTGGGATTTCAGGAAGCTGATTTGAACTGGGCAGGGACTCCCTTCCTGGTGGTAGAAGTGACAGGCTTTTGCACATTTGGCTTATCACCCTCCCTCATCTCCTCTCCAATCAGAGGTCTACATTTCACGCTGCTTATCATTTGATAAGCCACCAAACTTGTTAGAATGGGGAGCTGGGTTCTTCAGGAGTGGAATCTTCATTTGTCCTTTGGACACCATCACCAAGCCTGAGGACTTACGCAAAAATTGAATGTTCCAGGGCCCTCTGTCTCATGTGTTGGGATTCCCAGGGGATGAGTTATTCCTTACCCACTGGAGAGAGCTGCTGCCCCCCCTGCCCCTCCCCACACCTCATAGCACCCTGTGCCCACTTCCCTCCTAGGCTTATACAACCCGTCCTGTTGCTCCATTGAATTGCCACACTTCTCTCATCTCTCTGCTGCACCCCTTACTCCTCCACTCTGGATTCCTCTTGAGGCTGGGCATACCACTGCCCCGAGGTGTACAACCCATCGGCCGGGAGTTATTATTTTCAGTGTGCCACTCTTCCACTCAAGAACCTGTGGTGTTGTATTGGGGTCCAAACACCTTTCTAGTTTTCATCTGTCTCTCTTCTTGGTCTAGACTCTGGTCCTTCATACTTATCAGACTGGTCTGGTTCCTCTTCCCCCTCCAGCCCGTAGTTCCTCTACCCCAGGCTTAGGACAACAAACTGCCTGCTGTCTCTCCTTTCTCCTTGACCAATCTGACTCTTCCTTGAACCTCAGCTCACAGCTCAGCATGGGGCTTTCCTGAACATTCCAGCAACTCTTGCTGCCCACACTAGATTCATGTTGCAACTCTAGTACCACAGAACTTAGAGTTGGCAACATTTTTTCCTAAAGATTTAATCACTTGGTCTTTCCCTCCCAGTCAGATGACTGGTTCTTGGAGGAAGGGATGGTAAAGTTAAGCAAGTGAAGTGGGAAGGCACCAGACTGTGAATCTGAGGGCCAGGTCACCTATGAGTGCAGCCACTTACTGGCTCCGTTGTCTTGGTAAATCTACCTATCTTGAACTTCTGTTCTCATCTATAAAATGAGTGGGGGATAAAAAGAGTATCTTAGTTTCCTATTTGCTGCTCTAAGAAGTTACTGTAAACTTAGTGGCTTAAAGCGGCACAAATTTATTCTCTTAGCCTTCTGGAGGTCAAAAGTCAAAAATGGATCTGTAGGTGACATTCCTTCTGTAGGCTCTCTGTAGGAGAATTCTGTAGGAGAATCTGTTTCTTATCTTTTCAGCTTTTAGAGGCCAGCCTTGGAAGATATTATTCTGTCAACCACAATGGATTCTTAGGTCTCTTGTGTCTCTACACATTTCTTACAGTTATTTAAAGAGTTTAGCACTGTGCTAGACTCATTAATTTTTTTTTAAGATTTTATTTATTTACTTGAGAGAGAAAGTGAGGGACAGAACACGAGTGGAGGGAGAGCCACCCAGGCACCCCTAGACTCATTAATTTCTTGATAGGTTAGTTTACCTATGATGATTTCCTCTTGTCAGATTGTTACTGGGGATTCCAGAGCCTGCCTGATAAAACCCAATGATAGAACTGTGAGTGCAGACTTGGGGATTGTTCTGTTTTTACGTAATTTTTAATTGTCATTTATTTTTTATTTTTTAAAGATTTTATTTATTCATGAGAGACAGAGAGAGAGGCAGAGACCCAGGCAGAGGGAGAAGCAGGCTCTATGCAGGGAGCCTGACGTGGGACTCGATTCCAGGCCTCCAGGATCACACCCTGGGCCGAAGGCGGCGCTAAACCGCTGAGCCACCCGGGCTGCCCTATTGTTCTGTTTTTAGACTTTCATTGACTGCACTTTTACTAGCGAGAATTTGATGATGGTCTTCTTCCTATTTTTGATTTTCTGCTTTGTCCGTTTTGAAAGAATCCTCAAAAATTTTCATCTGTTCCCCAGTAGCCAGGAGTTGCCTCTTAAACAGTTTGTTAGTTATACTGGTGATTCTACTATATGTCCAATGGTCTTTCCATAAATTCCTGAATGTGTTTCTGAGTCCTCTTGCGAAACTTGCAGTAGAGGTGTGTCCTTAAGGTCTAGAAGCCAAAATAGTCTAGGATAACTAACCTAGTTAATTTTATCTGTAATTGCTACTAAATATTATGATGTTTCACAGGAATTTAGATAGGTATTTATATGGGAGTTATGCAGTTTTTCTTGCCCTGCGTCCCATCAATTGGTGTCCACCCTGGGTGACGACCACTTACAAAGTGGTGAGAAAGCGGGGCATCTGGCTGGCTCAGTCGAGGAGCATGCGACTCCTGATCTCGGGGTTGTGGGTTCATGCCCCATGTTGAGTGTAGAGATTATTTAAATAAATAAATAAATAAACTTGGGGGGGAAAAGGACACCGAGAAAGCATCTGTAAAATCTGTCCCCCCTCATTTAATTTTAAGTTTTAGAGTACTTTTCACTATTGAGTCTGAGACATGTGCAATGTGGGTCAAGCACATCTGTGGCCTATATATTGAAGCTTCCTTTCTCTTTTGCTTCCTAGATGCACCCACTGGGCCTGTGTAATAACAATGATGAAGAGGACTTGTATGAATATGGCTGGGTAGGAGTGGTGAAGCTGGAACAGCCAGAATTGGACCCAAAACCATGCCTCACTGTCCTGGGCAAGGTAAGTGTCAGGCCCTGAGGATGGCCACACTTCCAACTGGTGTTCTCTGCTTTCCCATTTCCACAGTTCCTCACAGAGCAGGTTACAAGGCAGAGCCATGCAGGCACAGCATTCTTTCCCAGCTGAATCGTGTGAGATGGGGACTAAGACGTACGTTTCTGGCAGCAACCTGCCCCTGGCCGCCCCATGGAGCTTCTGAGCTTGGACTCTGATAGCGCCTGCCAGCCTAAGAGTCAGCTCCACCTCTTGTCACTTTGTGACTTTAAGCAAGTCACCTTCCCTCCAAAAGTCTCAGTTTCTTATCTGTGAAATGGGTTCATAATAGAGGTTCATAGTACCTTCTACCCTCAGGGAGAGAAGTTCCAGAAATCTGAGCTTTGGGGAGTTTAGAAAGGTAGTAAGACTGTACATGTTTTATATTAAGTAACCTCCAGGAGGTCTGGGGCAGTTCTCAGTAATTAAACACATGCCTATTTGCGTAGCAAACGATATGATGTTCACATTAAGTGGGATAAACTAAAATCTAAATCGCCTTGTGTTAGTTCAGGGCAGCTTTGCCTCTAAATGAGTTCAGGTCCATTAAGTTTTGCTGCCAAGTAAGTTATGGAAAAACTTCTGGGTTTTAGAGCTTTTTTGGTTTCAGAATGGCAGACAGCAATTATGGTCCTATATTAGAACTTACCTCATAGGATGGTTAGGAGGTGAGATGAGATGCAAACGGCCAGCAGAGTAAGCTCTCAAAAAATGTTTGCTGCCATTGACTGCTCTCATCCCATTTAGAAGTACTAAAAAAGACCTGTGAGCCAAGAGGGTTCAGCATTATCTCTGGCTGCTGTGTTAAGATAGAAATAAATTTATTTTGGGAAACTATCCATCAATGATCTTAAAATATGACAGATAACAATCTGTTTTAAACTGAACTGGATCATTTTGTTAAAGGGAAAGGTTTGGAGAAAGTTATTGGAATTTTAGTTGAAGGGAAGGAGGTATCTCCTAAGGATCATGTTATTGCCTGGATTTTTTTATTTTTATTTTTATTTTTTAATAATCTCAGAAGCTGCTGTCTAGATATCATGGGGAGACAGCTGGGAAGAAAACAGTTCTGGTCCCTGACCTCTTGAGGATCCAGGCAAGAGAGGAGGTGGTTTTGATACAGGGTCCTTGATGGGGAGCCTTTCTCAGACTTGAAGATGTCCCAGCCAGGGTCTCCTGAAAGACTTTCAGTCCAGGAGACCATTATGGGTCTAACTTGTGATTTTCATGTCTCACTTATCTTCTGAAGCTTCTGAGCACTTGTCGAGCTCTCTTGCTCTTTTATAGCAGCAGGGGGCTGGGGGTGGAGGGTGGTGGTGGCGGTGGTGGTGGTGGAAACCAACCCAGGAATTATTACCTGTTTGGTTTACAGTTCATGAAGTCAAATCAAGGTGTTTTAGGTGACCCAGGCCCTGATACTTCATCGTTTAAATAGTTAGCCAGAACTGCTTAATGATGCTAGGAAAGCAGCGACTCCTTTGAGAATACTTTAGTGTTTTCCTGGGAGAAATGCCAGCTACATCCAAAGGGTAGGAACACTGCTTTCCTTGTAGGTAGTACACTCCTTATATAATATTTTCTCCTGTACTTAAGCTGCTGCTATGCAGGGCTCAGCAGCTTGGCTTAATTTGCTTTGCCCCAGTCCAGAGGAGCTCTACCTTTGCATCTGTTGTGTCTATAAGTGGGTTGGAACAGGTTTCTCAGGGACACCCCATTGTTGTTCAATGGCTTAGTGATGTTGAAGTCACTCAGAGAACCCAGTTGTTCCTTCCCCCCACCTAGAACAACCATGTAGTGGTGTTCCTTGAAGAGTTTTGTATGGTTGGGCCTGCTAAGCCAGGGGGAATAAAAACCCTTGACATATATCGAATCATTAAGTACTTCTTGGGTTTATTCATTCACCAAATATTTATTGAATGCAGAAGCTAAGTGTGTGGTTCTACCTGCTTGCAAGCAAGAGCCCTCTCCCCAAACCTCGTTTCTGTTTGGAAAGGCTGTGTGGTGGCCAGGCAGTATTTACACGTGGTTAGTTACTGAAATTTGGCTTAACACCTGAATAAAATCATTAGCAAAAATGTTTGGGCCAGACAAAGCAAGACAGCTTCACATTTGTTTAGAGCCTAGGTCTGTACAGGAGGTGTGATGACTCACACATCTCCCCCTCTCTCCCTCTTTCCTTTTTTTCTTTCTCCCTTCCTTCCTTCCTCTTTTTCTTTCTCATTTTAAAATGTAACTGTCCTCAGCTTCGATTTTGTTAACTTTGCTAACTGCCCTTTCCTTTTTTTTTTTGAGCCCCTAGCAAGAGATTAGGATAAAGAAAAGCAAAGTGATCCTTGTGGGCAGCTCTGTCTCCTGCAGATAGCATGCTTTTCTCTCATTTCTTTGCTCTCGGTGGCTAGGGCAAGAAGACGGTGGGCAGTGGAGAGAAGCACAGAAGGAAGAAACTGAAGCCAAGTCAGTGTGGGGGTGGGAGGAAGGACTCCTCCATATAGATGTTGAGACTTGCTGAAATCCATGGAAGGGAGGACTTTGTCAGGCATTCGTAAAAAGCCTGTGGGAGAACAGTGCGGGGGGGGCGGGGGGGGCCAGACACAGACCCCTCTCCTTCTATCACCCTCCACCTTCAGTCACCTACTTGCCCACAGAAAATGCCATGGGGCAAAATGTTGAAACAAGAGAGGAATGTCCTAAATTAAAAAACTGTAAATGCCTCTCCAGGAGTTCAAATAAAGTTTCATTTTAAATGCAAAAGACATAAACTCATCACCTTGGTTTATTACTGAATGCTTTTGAACTCCTCAGAAGGGAACACTATAAACTCATGAGAGAAAAATGATTTATGTTCCCATCCTTGTAATCTTTTCGATGCTGTAGGAGACAGGGCAGATGGTAGGATCAGCTAGGGAGGCAGAGTTGGGGTGAGACGAAGCCCCCTACAGGGATCTAGCCAGCCAGGGGCACAAGGCCAGGCCGTGCATCACACCAGGCACAGAACAAATCTCACCACTTTCTGGGTCTCTCTCTTTCACTTCGCGTTAAGAGGCTGTTACGGGCTTCTTACTTTTCCAATATTTTGAGCTTTTGTGTCATTTAAAACCTGCCCTTGAGATTCTAGTTTGGGGAGATTCTCTGTATCATTGAAAGGCAGACTCAGTTACCTGTGACAGTTTAAGTGCTAGGAAATTAAAATAGAATAAAATTGACATTTCTGAGGAACTTGCTACTGAAAGTAAGGGTCTTAAACCATCCCCAGAATGCAGGAATCTGCGTATGTCCTGGGCATTTTAACCCTTTAGTTTAGACAGTGTTTATTAAGCATCTTATGGGATGGGGGAGAATTTTGAAGGTTGACTTAACTAGCTTCAGTTCCTATGACCCATCCACATAATAGAGGATCTTGTGGCAGGAGCACACAGAATGTGCTGGAGTTTCTGACAAAGCCCACCTGGCCCAGACTCCATAAATGGAGGCAGAATATACTTCCTCTCCCCCTCATCCCACGTTGGAGTGGGGCCTTAGGGAGGGCTTTGAAAGACAACATGTCAGTCAATAGGCATGGACTGGCTCTTTCTGGTACCTAGGAGGACAGTGTGAGGAAACTAATGAAAAGACAAGAAAGGCAGGGAATTTCTGGTCAAAGAGACCCAGCTCTGGTAGTGACCTCAGAAAGGTCACTTCAGTCCAGGGGCCCTTGTGCTCTTCCTTGGGGCTTGTACTGTCTTTGTCATTGCATCAGGAGAGCTGCGAGATGTTTGTGGAGAACTTAACCATAGACAGCCGACAAAAATGTAAAAGCAGCCATAATGTGTTGGGCTGCTCGCAGAGCACTAGGAGCTTTCCAGGCTGCGTCTTTCATTGTCAGACTGACTCTGAGATCGTGTCCAGATTCCCATTTTACGATGAGGAAATCGAGTCCCAGAGGCATTCTGTACATAACCTAAGTTCAAATAGCTCCCAAGTAGCCAACCTGAGATCTGAGATAAAGACTGTTCTACGGCCTCATCCGTGTTAGTTTCTTCCCCTCCCCCACTTTCGTCTTTACCAGTTTGTAGATAAAAATCGGATGCTTTTTAGTAGCTACTGGTTTGGTTAGGACTGTTGATTCCACTTCATAGAGACCCACCTTAAACTGCAGTGTTGAGCCCAAAGGGATTTGCTCTTGAAGCTCCTGGGTGGCATCAGGGAACCCATGAGAGGTGCTGCTGCTCTTCTAGGACAGCCGACTCTGAGGCTCAGTGCCAGTGGCTCTTCCACAAGTCTTCTGTATACCTTCTTTCATTCCTCTTTCTCTCCACTTGCTTGGTAGGAGACATAACCCCCAGCATCCCTGGGCCTGACACTCTTGGTTTTGAGCCTAAAGGATTCCAGAAAAGGGATTTGTTAGCCCATCTTGGATCTGGCAGTCACTTCTAGTCTGGTCAGCTGTGATGTGGTGCTGGGAAAGCACAGAACTTAGCTTCCTACCCAACCATGTGTGGGGAATGGGAGGAAGAAGTGATGTTGCTGGGCTACCATCTCCCTGTAGTCATCAAGTCATATATGGGATCGTTAGCTGGTTGGTGATGTCCTCAATTTATCCTGAGCCATTCAGAGAGGCATCAGTGGGGGGGTGGGGGGGACTTCTGGCTCATGTGGACCATAAAGAGTTTATTCCTCTCCTTGCCCTGAGCCAAGGCCCAATCCCTGGTACAGACAGTAATTGTGAGGAGAGGCGAGTTCATGGGGCTGCTGGGGTCAGATGCATTTTACAGAGAGGGGCTGTATGAGTCAGGAAGAGATGGGAGAAGAAGCTCCAGGAATGGGGTGAAAGAAAGAAAGCAAGTTCTTCAAGGGGCATTGAAAGTTGCTGGAGGAAGTAAGAGGCTTTCGGGTTAAGGAGTGTAGTCTTTATTCCCTAGGCTGATAGGGGAGGGAAGGATTGGGTTATTCTTCACTGATGGATGTTTCTGGGAAGGAAGTGGTACCTG